CTCTGAGCTGTCAGCATAGAACCTGACATGGGGCTCAAACCCACAAACCGTGAGATCATGACCTGAGCTGAAATCAGACGCTTAACCAACTGAGCCACCCAGGCACCCCTGTATTCTTATAACCTCGTTTTGGGTTTGTTTTTTTTTTAAGTTTATTTATTTATTTTGAGAGAGAGAACACATAAGCAGGGGAGGGGCAGAGAGAGGGGGAGAGAGAATCTCAGGCAAGCTCCGTATTATCAATGCGGAGCCTGACTTGGGGTGTGAACTCATGAACTGTGAGATCATGACCTGAACTGAAATGAAGAATTGAACACTTAACCAACTGAGCCACCCAGGCATCCCACCCTCGCTTTGGAAGTTTCACACTGTCATTTCCACAGCACCCTACTGGTTACACAGGTCGGCCTGTACAGGGGCTAGGTGGGGGGCCACCTCCTTAACATTAGGAGGCAAGAATCCGTATGGGCCATCTTGGAGGCTGGCAAGCATACCTGTCTAAAGTCTTCTGGTTTGGGGTAGGGAAGGCCCAGATTGGGTTTCTAGAAACTAGGATTTAGGGGAGGACAGAATTGATGTGTGGGACACATGGCAAAACTTGGGACTAAATTCGTGGGGCAGAAAGTAGAGACTCCAAAACCACAGACAGTTGCAAATGCACCTGAAATCCTAGGATTTTTAGAAAGCATGGGAAGGAAATGGTTCAAGGTACTCTTCAGATGCCTGCCTTGAGAGCTTTAATAAAAGTGAGGTATGGACGCCTGGCTGGCCCAGTCGGTTGAGCGTCCGACTTCAGCTCAGGTCATGATCTCACAGTTTGTGAGTTCGAGCCCCACATCAGGTTCTGTGCTGACAGCTCAGAGCCTGGAGCCTGCCTCGGATTCTGTGTCTCCCTCTCTCTCTGCTCCTCCCCTGCTCACACTCTGTCTCTCTCTCAAAAATAAATAAAGATTAAAAAAAAAAGGTAAATCTTCATAGTACCCACAAGAGAGCCCAGTGCTCAATTTAAGAGTCTCCACTGTGCACCTGACACTGTGCAAGGAACTTGACACACAGTGTTACATTTTACTGTCACCAAGACTCTGCCAAGTAGACATCTTCACCCTGTGGAGGAATCAACACTTAGGTTCAGGGACTTGCCCAAGGTTGCAGAGATGGGAAACAGCCACTGAAGGATTCAGCCCCAGCTCTGCCTCTGGATCCGGTGCTCTTTAGACTCTGGCACATGGCCTCTGGGCTGTGCAGGGCCCTAATGCCCACTAGCAAGTTACACCATATGTTTGTGCCTCAGTTTCCTTGTGTGAAAATGGAGATAATGACACATACTTCATTTAGTTATACTGAGGATTGAAATGGGTAGATATGTGTAAAGCTTAGAGCAGTGCCTGGCGTGTGAGAGGCTTTCTGGAAAACACGAGCCATGGCCGCCGTTACCACCATCACCCCCTGCCCCTCCTCATGATCATCATCACTCCCATCACTCCGGCCACCTAGCTGTAGCCAGCTGTTTCCTAGTTCATAAAGTGGAAGGATGCAGTCATTGTTTTCTTTTTTTTTTCTTTTAATTTTTTTAATGTTTACTTATTTTTGAGAGAAGGAGAGAGACAGAGCACAAGCAGGGGAGGGGCAGAGAGAGAGGGAGACACAAAATCCAAAGCAGTCTCCAGGCTCTGAGCTGTCAGCACAGAGCCCGATGTGGGGCTTGAACTCGGGAAAGACAAGATCGTGACCTGAGGCAAAGTTGGCGGCTTAACCGACTGAGCCACCCAGGCCACCCAGGCGCCCCTGCAGTTGTTTTCTAAAGCTCCTTCCCCTGCTGTGCAAGGACTAGCGGAAGCATTGACAAAAGGCTACTGCTTTAAATTTTTTTTTTAACGTTTATTTATTTTTGAGACAGAGACAGAGCATGAACAGGGGAGGGGCAGAGAGAGAGGGAGACACAGAATCCGAAGCCGGCTCCAGGCTCTGAGCCATCAGCCCAGAGCCCGACACGGGGCTCGAACTCACAGACCACGAGATCGTGACCTGAGTTGAAGTCAGACGCTTAACCAGCTGAGCCACCCAGGCACCCCGAAGGCTACTGCTTTAAAGAACGTTGCATTACTAGGGCCACCTGAGGTAGTCTTAGCGGCAAGTTGGTTCTGCTATAGTGTCTGGGGCCACAGCTGTTAACTGTGCCCCTGATCCAGGTGGTGATGTTCTGGACGATGATGCTAAACGGCCCTCTGCCCAGAGCCCTGCAGAACTCAGAGCACCCAACCCTGCAGGCGAGCACCTGTGACGCCCTGTCTTCCATCCTGCCCGAGGCCTTCAGCAGCCTGCCGGTAACTCCAGGAGTGTTTTCTCACCTTACGTGGTGCCCCCGAGCAGCAGAGCTTGAGTTTGATTCAGATTCGTTGTCATCTTGAGCCGGTATTCAGCATCATCCCTGGCTTGAGTGTGGGGTGAGGGCGGTGGAAACACTTCAAATCTTAATGTCTCGGGAGCCTTTCTTCCCTGTCCTCGGAGGGCAGGTGAGGGAGGAGGCTTGGAAGAGACGTTTCAGAAAGACTTCAAAACCAAGAGTTAGGAGGACCTGGGTTTATCTCTTCCACTCCACTCCCTGATTTTCTTAACATCTCTAACCCTGAGTGTTCTCATCTATAAAATGGGCACAATGTGAGGAATAACACGAAGTGTGAGCAGTACTTGGCCAGTGCCCACCACATGTATATTCAGGCTGCTCCCCTTCTTTAGTCCTCAGTGGCATTTGCATGAATTAGCTTTTATAAAGAGGCTGCTTTCAGGAAGTAGGAGAACACGGTGACCTAACTCACACAGTGGGAAAGGTTAATGGTCACAGGTGCTGTGTGTGCCCAGCACCAAGCAGGCACTCACCCAATACCTGGATCCGCGTTGCCCCTCTGCTCTCTGCTAAGGTAGCCTCAAGGTCTCCCTTGTGTTCAGATGCAGACACGTCCCAGTCGCGTGTTGAGGACAGTGGCTCGTGGTTCTTTCTTTCTCACTTTCCCTCCACCCACCTTTCTCACTACAGAGCGACAGGCAGATCCTGTGCATCACCATGCTGCTTGGGCTGAACGACAGCAAGAACCGTCTAGTGAAAGCGGCGACCTCGCGGGCCCTTGGAGTCTATGTGCTTTTCCCCTGTCTCAGACAGGTCAGAGCGAGCCTGCACAGCCCTTCTCTGCCTCTGTGATAGGCCAGGGCAGTGTTGATTTGGGTGCATACAGAGCTTCTGAGTTGGACAGTAAGGGACACCAAATTGCTCTTAGTTTCTTTAATTGCTACTAAAATACGGTAATGCCTGTAAGTTCATTTATTTCAAATTATTTAGCACACTGCCCAGGACCCTAGATTTACATTAATGAATAATTGAAAAAAAAAGGAAGTGGGATATTGCCATGGGATAATAATAATTTAGAAAGCTGATGTAGAGTTTTGGCTAAGAAGCGAATAAATTTCTTTTTCACTCTTAGTTGTGACATCTCACTGTGAAGTGTGTAATGAATAGGATGTGTTTTAGAAATGCATTTCATTGTCAGTGTCATTTCCCAAGGTGGAAATCAGTCTAAGCACAGAATTCATGGATCACTGTCGCAGACCAGGTTATAAGATGTTCAACAAGAGCAAAATCCATAGGCCCCTCGGGTGTGCATGGCACATACGAAAATCCCAGAAGACCTTCCCCTGGGGTTTAATGAGTGTCCACATTATAATAAGTAGAATAGTAAATTGAGTAAATAAATTTTGATTTTCAAATAGAAATTGTGGTAAAGGCTTATATCATTGTCTGAAAATAAATTTCAGAATTTCTAAGGCAGCTGTGTGAGCTCCCAAAGTAACTACGGTGTTTTATTTTCTCTTACAGGATGTCATATTTGTTGCAGACACAGCGAATGCAATATTGATGTCACTTCAAGACAAATCTCTGAATGTCCGGGCCAAAGCAGCCTGGTCCCTGGGCAACTTGACAGACACTCTGATTGTCAACATGTAGGTGACTCAGCTCATTTCCCCTGGGTGACTTCTGAGGTTGAGGTCCCAGGAGGGTATCTTTGATCTCTACTATAAAAGAACAGTAATTCTCCCATATCGTGTAGTCAGTCTTCCTGCTTTGTTGTGTTTTATTCTCCTTCAAGTAATGAGATTAGTAAGTCGTTCTTTATATATACACGTGTATATATATACACGTATGTGTTTGTGTGTGTGTATTTAATACTGTATGCTGATATAAGTAACGTATCCACATTATAGAAAATGTGGAAAATACTAAAGTAGAAATTCAAAACCATAATATAGGTCGCGCTACTCTTTATCAAATTTGTAAGTTTTCAGAGTAATAAAAAAAAAAATTGAAACAATACAAAAGGGGTCATCAGTATAAAGCCTTCCTCCCTGAGGCAGCTGTTGTCCCTCATGTACTAGTGCCCTGCTTATCATTGCTTAGTTCTCCCATACAGCATGTCTAAGCATCCTCCCAACTTCTGCTGGCTTTTTATAAATTGTTCATTACTATTACATAATCACCACTGTGAAGTGATTATTTAACCACTCCGTTACCGAACATGTGCATTATCTTAGGCTTTTCTAAGCAATGAACATTTTTGTACATAAAATCTTTATTTCAAGATACACCTTTTGGTCACATTCCTAGATGTGGACCTACTGGGTCAAAAGGTATAAACTTTTAAGTTCTTGATATAATCGGAACAGATTTGTTGAGCTGTTTTCCCACATTTTTATAGTTCTACTAAGTGAATGCCTCTGTATATGTATATATTTAACTGAGTTTTAACTTTTAACGTGTTTTGTCTGCTTTGGGTGGAACAGGGAAACCCCAGACCCAAGTTTCCAGGAAGAGTTCTCTGGTCTCCTGCTCTTGAAGATGTTGCGATCAGCTATAGAAGCGTCCAGGGATAAAGACAAGGTAGACCCACAGCAAAGCCTGGTATTTCTCCATTAGATACTTAGTGTATTATAGTTGTATCCCCCAAATGTATCCCTGTTGAAAGGAGATCAAGAGAGTACTCAGGTATAATGTGGCCTACTCCACACTTATACAGTTTCCTTCCTGTCTCATGAAAAATATCAATGCTCTTTGTAATACTGCTCCATGATCTGTCCGTGTTTGTTTTAATATTAGTCTGCTTTTGGTTTTTGTTTTTGTTTTTTTCTAAAAAATCTTTCAGTAGAAGTGACAAGTCAGAAAAATGAACAGCCCTTGGCTTTATATAGCTCCCATTAGACTAATAAGTTAAAAGCATAGAAATGGGTTTTAGGGTCAGGTAGACATGGTTCAAATCCTGGCTTGCCCTTTAGTAGCCGGGTGGCGTTTGGTATATCATTAACTTCTCTGAAGGTCTGTTTCCTCATCTGGAACCTGGAAGTCATTACATCTACCTCAGTGGCCTCGGAGATGCCTTGTGTTAAAGTACCTAGCATGATACCTGACCCATACCGAGTGCTTAATTTAGTACAGTGACTCTGAAAACCTGGGAAGCCCTATGTGGACTAATCTGTTCAGAATTTCTGGGACTAGGGCCTGGGAATTGGTTTTGGAGAAAGAAAGCTCCTCGGATGATTCTAGTGTGCTGCGAAGGTTGAGAGAGACTTTCTAATGGAAAAGTACTGGGCTGGAATTTTGAAACCTCGCCTCTCCTCGTCACCTTGCTGCAAACCAGCTTTGCCCTGTAGCCTCTGGGTCTTCCACACGGTCTCTGTAAAACGAGGCAGACAGACCTCTCTGGAGTCTAATCCAAAAATACCGTGAGGAGCTGTGGAAGACCTCACCTCTCTGATGGCATAGGCTGTTCAGCACATAAGACCTTGCAGAGTTTCAAGAAGCCACACTTTTACAGGCTGCTGTTTTCATTGGCTTTCCGACTTTAAGCTGTCCAAGACCTCCTGGGTTTTTTAAAGCTGAAATGATACTTTCTGTAACATGTCTTTGGCAAAGCAGATTTCGAATGCTTTTTTTTACATTTTATTATAGGTAAAAAGCAACGCAGTGCGGGCCCTTGGAAATTTGCTTCATTTTTTGCAACCGTCTCATATAGAAAAGCCCAGGTTTGCTGAAATCATTGAGGAGTCTATCCAGGCCCTCATCTCTACTGTGCTGAATGAGGCTGCCATGAAAGTCCGATGGAATGCTTGCTACGCAGTGGGGAATGTATTTAAAAATCCTGCTCTTCCATTAGGTAAGAAGGTGTCTCTCTGGTGCAGGGCCTCAGGACAGCACACTCCAGCCTACAGTAGTATTCAAGATGTTCCTCGTAGTTTTACTTATCACATATTAGAAAAAATGGAAATGTTTCGAATGCCCAACTTTAGGGGAATCATAGTATATATCATAGTATATATATTCAAAGGGATCCTTTAGAATTATGTGTACAAAAAGTTTCTGATAATCTGGGAAAGTACTTCTGATGTTAAGCAAATTAAAACAGGATATGCAGTTGTTTCTACGACATGATCTCAATAAATGGGTGGAAAAAAGAATGAAAGGAAATTAGCCTAATCATTAACGGTGGTTGCCTCTGGAGGGGATGACGAGTAGGACTTTTGTCTGCTTTCATTTTCTATAAGAAAATGTTGTTCTAACAACCGGGGGGAGGAGGGGAGGGCAATGAAGGAGAAAAGCTGGCATGGAAGAAGAGTTACAGATTGGAAATCCCAAATGAGCCCTTGGTACTGAAGTGGGCTGCTGTGTAGGAGGGCATCTCAGTAATGATGTGCCGTGCACCTTGATAGAGCATCAGTGGCTTATAGCTGCTTAGGCATATAGGTCAAAGCCTCCCAATTCCCATTCCCTCTCCTTACCAGCATTTGCCTTATACATTTGTCTCTGTGACAAGATTTGAAACAAGTTATGTTCCTGGAGAGGTAAAACCATTCTGGGCCAGCAGAGCATGCATCAGGTTAGGGAGATCTGGCTCTGCTCCCCTTTATTGCCACGATCTTCCAGCCAGGGGGTGCCTGCCTGGCTCAGTTGGAAGAGCACGTGACTCTTAATCTCAGGGTCATGAGTTTGAGTCCCACGCTGGGGGTAGAGATTGCTTAAATAAATAAATTCAATTTAAAAAAAAAATGCTCCCAACCGAGGGCTAATGGAGAAGTAGCTTCATGGTGTTTTCTACAGAGGAAATAACCCAAAGTGACCTTTGGAGTTGGAGCTCATTAAGGTGGATGTCTGCCTGCCTGCCTTCAAAGACAGCAAAGAAGTTCGGAAGGGCTGAAAGAGGGAAGCTGAATTCTTGTAAAAAAAAAAAAAAAAATTTTTTTTAATGTTTATTCATTTTTGAGAGAGAAAAAGAGAGAGAGACAGAGCAGGAGTCGGGGTGGGGCAGAGAGAGAGCAGGACACAATCTAAAGCAGGCTCCAGGCTCTGAGTTGTTAGCACAGAGCCTGATGCGGGGCTCAAACCCACAAACCATGGTAAGACCTGAGCTAAAGTCAGACACCTAACCGACTGAGCCATCAAGGCGCTCCTAAAAAAATTTTTTTTTAATTAATTTATTTTTGAGAGAGGGCATGAGTGAGTGAGGGGCAGAGAAAGAGAAAGAGAGAGAATCCCACACAGGCTCTGCATTGTCAGCACAGAGCCCGAAGCGGGGTTCAAACTCATGAATTGTGAGATCATGAGCGAGCTGAAGTCAGATGTTTAAACAGACTGAGCCACCCAGGCACCCCAGGGAAGCTGAATTCTATTCTACTGTCCACTTTGAGGAATAAGAGCCACCCCAAAATTGAGTGGGGAGTGGTAGTTCTGATAAGGAAGAAAGCAGGCTGATTTCCTGGGACTAACCAACAGGAAGGGAAAGAAGACAGAAACTGGGACATCATCTTCTCAAAATTAGAGAATTGCACCTTTGGTTAATCTGAGTACTCTGTTCCTTAGTCACTGCCTAGATAGTACCTTCTTTTTCTTTGCAATAAAACACATGACTTGCTATGTCCAGAGCAGTGTCTGGATGCTAATCTGGGTGATGAGATATTTTTTTGTCATCATGAACAAGGCTGGGCATACGGTTGTGCAGTGTGTGCACTGCTCAGAAGCAGGCAACTGAGCACAAGTGGCAGTACAGTTTAGTCCGAGCTCCTCAAGCCTTACCCCCGTAGGACAGCCTCTTCCCAGAGAAGAAGCCTCTTTCACTGTCGCCAAAGTCCCCATTTAGAGTAGCAGAGGCCCCCATGTGTGCAGCAGACTGTTTAAGGAAATGGGAAGTTTGGGAATCCGTACTCAGCCCCTTCTCTAGAATCCCACAGTGAGTACCGGTCACCCTGATCCTATAGGGTTAGCGTGAGAATTGAATGAAAACCTAGTGTCAGCTGGAGCATAAGTGTGTATTTCCTCCACCCTCTCCACTCCCCTGCTTGTTTCTAAGCCTTCATCTGTTGTAATGCCGGTGGGTTCTTTCTAGGAACAGCCCCGTGGACCTCCCAGGCCTACAACGCCCTGACGTCGGTTGTGACATCATGCAAGAACTTCAAAGTGCGCATCAGATCTGCCACTGCCCTTTCCATCCCGAGCAAGAGAGAGCAGTATGGGTCAGCTGAGCAGTACGTTCAGATCTGGAACGCATTGGTCACTGCCTTACAAAAGAGCGAAGACACCACAGACTTTTTGGAGTTTAAGTACTGTGCCAGCCTACGGACCCAAATCTGCCAGGCACTGATCCACCTCTTGAGTTTGGCCAGTGCCTCAGACCTGCCCTGCATCAGAGAAACCCTCGAATCGAATGGGGACATGGTGCAGTCCTTTATCCTACAGTTTTTAAAATCAGGAGCAGAGGGAGATGATACTGCAGCACCCCACAGCTTGCACGAAAGAGACCAGATGGTCAGAACGGCCCTGGAGCACATAGGCAGCATCCAGGCACTGGCTGGCGACTCAGCCAAAAGGGCCATCATGGACTTTCTAGAAGATACCCTCACCATTTATTTTGACTCCTCTGGATCACAGGTAGCACTCCTGGGACTGACAGATCGGTGAATGGTCTGCCATACCTTCCAGGTGTCGTGGTAATGGAAAGACCCAAGCTTGAGTATCAGATATGCAGGATTCAATTTTAGGGGCAGAAACAACCCATTCAATTTTATTCAGAATGGGCTCACATCTATTTAAATTTTTCCCAAAGGGCTCAACCACTTTAGAGAGTGGTTCCGCTGCATTGGCCACGGTCCAGGTTGTTGGAACCTCTGACCTGTGCAGCCGGGAGCCAGGAAATACGGTCATAGGGCAGGCTGAGCAGACTGGACGGTTGCGAAGGGTGTTTGGCCTCAGACACCAAGATAAAGACAAAAAAACGAATGAATTTAGGAATCGTTATGTTATATATTGTGTCTCGGAATTGTTTTTCTTTTTGTAATAAACTAACGAAAACTAGCGTGCCCATAACCTTCTCTGTTTTTAGATCAAGTTGCGTTTATAGAAAGCCTCAGGCAGAGCTGATGTTCGGCCAGTCTGCACTGGTGTAGCTGCTTCAGTTGCTAAAATACTGAGAAGTTCCTCACAGGCTGCTAAACAGCTACTGCACTGAGCTTCCCAGGTACGCACCCTGGAAGCCCTCCGTGTGCCTCCCCATGAGCTGCTAGCTAAAGAGCTGCCTCCTGGCACCTGGCTGCCACCCTGGGCCCGCGTCCAGTTCACCGTAGCCGCACCACCCGCTTCCGTCTCAGCTTCTAAAGTCCCCGAGGAGAGCGTGGTCCGTACACTAAAGGTATGGTTGTTTCACCACCTTTGCATCTGTGCCTTAGAAAAAAGAGTTCTCTAATTTAATTTAGATGGTTATAAAGCTTTTTAAACTATATTTTGATAATGTCTAAGCCGTTATAAAAGTGATTTCTCCCGGAAGAATTATTTACATTTAAATTTTGCATTCTTCTATTAACCACCAACACTTTATGAGAATTGATTTCAGGTAGGAACTTCAATCCACAAAAGAACCAACTAAAATTACTCCATACTTATATTTGATCTCGGATAAATAAAAATCAAGATGCATAGAATGGATTTTGGCAATACATTATTTAACTGTTGTTATTTAGCTTAAAATTCATATTTTAGGGCATACATATGTCCTCAGCATTTCTCATTTGCCCCTGAGTTGCTCTTTTCCCTCTACTATGTTGTTGATTGTTCAGGAAATACTATCCAAGCAGACAGGGGAACAGATTAGTCCGGTAACTGAAGGCCCACTTTTCCATTGGTAGAATGCCAACCAGTTTCCGAACAATTAGACTATGGTACAGTAAAAACACCCATGTAGAACATTCTTTAAAGTTGCTTTTCTTTGGAGATGACTCTGGACACGAATTATTACAGAGGCCTAGGGACTCTAGGGACTGAGTTGAACCTGTACTGATCCTAATGATGAATCTTGGAACTTCCTTCTCTTTAAGGAATATGTTCTTAGCAGCAGCTTGTTTACTTGTCCCTGTCCTAAAGGTAAAAATGTGGCATGGATACCCACTGTTTGGGGGGCTTTCACTGGTGACCTTCTTCATAAAAATATTTGTGAAATGACTGAGTGGTCTGATTTGATGATTTGCTCTTATCCTTTGTTTATCTTGAATAAAACTTCATTTTTTGAAGAAACTTTCACTTCTGTACAGGTTTCCTTGTCTCTGAAAACAGATGTTAGTGTGCTCATATGCAGGGAAAGCTGAAGGGTAAGCACTTCTAGAAACTCCAGGAGCCCGGGGTACAGCTTCTGTCTGGATGGGATGCTGGCTCTCTCCTTGCCGTAGCACTGTGGGTGTACCCCAAGGGCAGGGGCTCCCACACGCCCTGCGCTGGTGCCTCAGGAAAGCTGCCATCATGAAAGGAAGCCTCACAAACAGTAAAGGGTTATAACTGATTCTGATGCAGAAACAGTAGAAAGTCTGGCTCTGATGCAGAATTCTAATTCAGAACACCAAACTCTGAACTTTCTGTTGATGTTTAAAAGAGAAAAAACCAGGGGCGTCTAGGTGGCTCAGTTGGTTGAGCGTCCAACTTCAGCTTAGGTCATGAGTTCGTGAGTTCAAGCCCCGCATCGGGCTCTGTGCTTACAGCTCAGAGCCTGGGGCCTGCTTTGGATTCTGTGTCTCCCTCTTTCTCTGCCCCCGCCCCCCATCTTCGCACTCTGTGACTCTCTCTCTCTCTCTCTCTCTCTGTCTCTCAAAAATAAACATTTAAAAAAATTAAAAGGAAAAAAAACAGGAGAAGGGGCCATCCAGGTACAGATGGCTAGAGCCTCTGTTTAATAAACTGACAGCATGATGACACCTTGCTTACTTTTGAAGTTGTTTGTGACCACTAAAAGCCACTAATTCTGACCCAATTGGAGAACTTGAGGAAGGCACACGCTATAACCTGTTTTATGGTAGTAGTTCATGGTAAAGCAGGGGTCCTATGGTGATTACAGGGCAGCAGAAACCCCTCCACCGTGGAACACCAGGGCAAGAGCTTCCTTGATTTTGACATCTGTGCGTGAACACAGACCCTGAGCTGAACATCACCGTCTTTCCAGCCTAAGAGTTCTGTGAATTCTAGCTACTCAGCTTCATTTGGCCTTCACTTTGTGAATACAGTGCAGTGCTTCAGAGCCCAGGTTGAACCCTGGCTCTGCTGCTTTCTATCTGTGAACATCTTGTGCCTCAGTTTTCCCATCTGCAAAAGAGGGATAATAGTGCCTACCTCATAAGGATATTATAATGAGTAAATGAGTTAGTATGCAGAGAGTTCTTCAGACAGCTTCTGGCACCCAATAAATGTCAGATACTTATTTTCCTTGAACTTTCAGAGCACTAGACAGAAATACGGTCGACATACCGTGACCTTTCGTGTTGGTAAATAGCTGGAGTCTCCTGACTGCACCCTCAGGTGAGGTGTTACCTGGGATGCCTCGGGAAGCTGAATCCAGCAGTATGGGAGAGGCACCACCCCAGGACCTCGGTAGCCTGCCAGATACAGCCCTCCGTCTTGCCCCTACAGGACCCCGTGGACAAGGGAAATGCCTGGATGTGTGGGAGGCCACATACTTAACGGGGCAGTAGTGACCCCTTTCCTAGTTCTGCCTCAGGACGCATCCCCGAGGGCCAGTCAGGAATTAACATCCAGTTTCCACAAGCTTTGAAATTACACCTGGGTTTTGCAGGACAACTCTGCAACTTAATAACCACATCCCTGGGCAAGTTACTTGACCTCTCATCTGTAAAATGGGGATAATAGTACCTCCTAGGGTTTCAGGAGTAGGTCGCATGATATCTGGCTCGGAGCTGGCACAGAGCAAGCACTCAGCAATAAACGGTGCCCTTGTCACACCTCTCTGATGTCCTTCCTGGGCTTGAATGTCTGTCTCTTCACTGGAGAAAGGTTATTGGAGTGGGACCTGCTTTTCGTACACACCTGGAGGCCTCGGGTCACAACTGAAGGGATCCTCAGCTCCAGTGGACAAGGATATTGTATTAGGGTTGGGGTCAGAGGACTAAAGCACTGCCACCAGTAACAGCAGCCCACAGGAATGCGGCCTGCGGGTTTAATTCAAAGCAGTGGCAGCGAATGCCATTTGCAAAAACCTTTCCTTGAAAATTACTGCCCTGTTGGGGCGCCTGGGTGGCTCGGTCGGTTGAGCATCTGACTTCTGCTCGGGTCACGTTCTTGTGGTTTGAGTTTGAGCCCCACATCAGTGCAGAGCCCGCTTTGGATCCGCTGCCCCCCTCTGCCCCTCTCCCACTTGTGCTCTCTCTCTCAAAAATAAAACATTTTTAAAAATTAAAAAAAAGAAAAAAAGGAAATCACTGCTCTGCCATTGATTCCATGACCAGCTGGTATTTACTGTAGGAATAGGGGCATTTCTTGAATGAGAAGTTCTATTAACAAAATTTATCACATATCAAATAAAAAAACCCCCAAATGGTCATTTTTATGAATGCTGAAAGAGCATTTGACAAAGCTCAAAGTCCTTTTTTGATGAAAATTATTTAAAAAAAACTAAAGATACATTGTTAACATCATAAAGTATACCTATCTTATCAGTGACTTTCCTTAAAACGTCAGAATCAAGACAAGGAACCCTGTCATCACGACTATTACCTAACATACAAGATTTAATGATCAAGGTGATTAAACCAACAATGCAATTAATTTTCCAGAAAGTTTTTTCAAAGAGTTTCCAAATTATGATTATTTGTAGAACACCAGTCTGAGAGACTGAATCCACAAAGCACTATTTGCAGAAAGTCGAGATAAATCAACTCGGCAAATAATAGAACTAATGAAAGTTCTGTAAGGTAGCTGTTTACAAATATGCCCAAATCGCTAGCTCTTCCGTATGTCAGCAATAATGGGTGCAATATTTTTTTGTCAAAAAAAGATTCCGTTCACAAAAGTCACAAAAGTAATAAAATACCTAGAATTAAGAAAGCCAGTCCAAGGAATTTGTGCGAAAATAAAAATTTTTCAAAGGTCACCAGAGACATTTAAAAAAGAGAAGGTATACGATGTTCTAGATAGAAGGACTCAATATTATAAAGACCACTTCTCTTTAAATCTATAAACTTAACCACATTCCCATCAAAGTCAAAATAAGATTTTTTAAAATGGCAAAATGATTCTAAATTTCATCTAGAAAAGTAAATGCAAAAATTCAAACCAAGGAATCAGGCTTTTGGCTACCACCCCGTGAGAGAAAAGAGAATTTCTCCCTCAATTAGTGTGCCCCATGGAAGCACTTTCCAGGCTCTGTAAATCTACACGCCCTGCTACATAAAAATCCATCTTTCATTCCAGTCCTACTCCATGCTGTTTCTCCCACCAGATGCGGCTATGGAGCCTGGACTAAATGCATGGAGCAGCTATCATGAACAGAAGGAAAAAACAGGAACCTCAGGGAGGGACCAGAGAAGTCAGAGCCCCACCAAACCGGCATGAGGTTTGCCATTTTCCCCCTCTGGCCTCCCCTGGCCTGGACTCCAAGCAGACAGAGACCTGGCCCTGCAGACGAGATG